AAAACGAGTGTCGGGTTGGGGGGTTTTTTTTTTTTTAAAAAAAAAAAAAAAAAAAAAATGGTGTGAAGTAGCAGTCACACATGGCAACCATTAAAAGAAAGTCAGCGCGGAAGAGAAAATATGCATGTATAAGATGCTGTGTGGCAAAAAGTTACTGCGGTGCAAAATTTCAATCAAACTCTCATTTTTATTTTTATCTTCCCACTATAACTGAACCGCCTGACGTTGCTGGATGGGAGATCTGAGATGGTGCCCAGAACGTTCAATCCCATACCCAGAATACCCAGTACTCACAACCCACACCAACGGGCTGCTGCCAAGAGACTTTTTTTTTTTTTCCCCCCTCCCATACTTGAGTTGTAGCTTGAAGCACAAAATGATCAGTAGTCTTTAAATCATTGTGTTTTTTTCTTAAAAAGAAAAGGCCAAGAAAACTCTGCTTGTATTTTTAGACCTTACTGGGTAGAATGGGAATTGAGACCTCCGGTTCCAAGCACAGACCACATTGCCCAATTCTGTCAGTCTTTAAATGAAGAGGTCCAACATGAAAACCACCGCCCTGGACTCCCCTTTGTCTTCCCCCAAGGTACATCCCTGGAGGCTGCCCGAAAACAAACTTTATTCACTTCTGGAAGCATCTTCTGCTATTTTAAATATTAACTTACGAACTCTGATTTCTTTGGACTCTGCTTGAGCTAAAAATTAAGGAAACAAGATGTTCTCCCACAGAATGAGAAAAAAGCATGGCAGGAGAGCCACAGCAGAAAAATAAACCGGAGCTGTTATGTGGGGTAGCACCGAAAATAGCCGATGGCTTGGTGACAGACCGGGTGGAACAGGCATACTGCGCGAAGAGCGACCGCACCGCTTCGGCCTCCAGCTCTCTCCTCGTCTGGGAACTCGCGACGATACGGGGAAAAGGCAACAGCCCTTGGGGGGTGTGTGTGTGTGTGTGTGTGTGTCAGTCACACAGCCAAAGGGCCAGGGATGAGCTAGAAGGGAACCCGCAAGAGGAAAACATCCCTCCTGGAGCCGGGGTCACTAACGAGCCAAGCTCCGGGACTGCCACACTGCTCCTGCGAGCTCCTTTTTACATCACACCCAAAGGCAGGTGCCTCCGGACAACAGCTACAGCTGCTGGCGATAGCCTAGGCCAGAGACATGGAGAAACAATCAGTCTCCTCGGCTGTTCTGATGAGAACAAGCCTTACACGTTAGGCCAGAGGCCCCCATCTGGGGACACCGGAAAAAACTGGATCCTTTATCTTCTCAAGGAGGAAGATGATGATGACTGTAAAATAAACTGTACAGGAATGGGATCTCTAGATGCCTAATAAGCTGGGCAGAGCTGAATCTGCTCAGTAATTAGAGAAGCCCGTTTAAACCAAGTGCGGTTACTTGAAGGGCCAACCTGTGTTTCAGCACTTGTGCCTGCACAGCGGAGCCCAGCTGCCTCCTGGGGCACAGCGCGCTGCTGACGGGGTCGGTACCCAGCACGGGCAGTCTGCACAGACCCAGGCCGCTGTCAGCAGCTCTAAGGGGACATTAATTCATCTCCTGGTTAAAGTCCGCCTTGGAATTGCATCCCACATCTCTTCTTGTCCACACCTCTGCCTATGGCCCTTCCCTTCCACGCAGTGCAGAACAGCGGTGAAGAGCAAAACATTTTTAACACCCAAGCCGTTCAGGTACAGGGCGCTGCCAAGCGAAGACGCCTGGGCTAGGTGTCAGCCTGTTACGACCTCGGTGCTTTTGTAGCTGTAACGATCACTCTCAATGCTCCTCCGGAAGGGACCAGCTGACTGAAGTTAATTTGCAAAACTTTCTTACATCTTTCAGCACTGCCAAAGCCTCCCACAGAATCAGCTGCAGGGGCTGCCAGGATCTCTCGCAGATGTACCAGGGCACAAGCCCGCGGTGACAAAGGCCGTCTGTGTGGAGCTGCTCAACCTTGATGCATTAGGATGCATTATAGGAACGCCGCCTTTCCTCTCAGGGCTGTCCCTGCCGGTGGCACCTCTCCCAGGGCAGAGGGAGGGAGCAGAGGCATTGCTTTCAGTGCCAGCATTTGCGTGCCAGGAGGTGCCAGGAAGTTTAGAAGCATTACTGGTCCTCTGTGTATTCGAGCCCCTTGGCTTCAGAAAGTGCAGAGGATCCCTCCTTCCCGGGAGACGCTCCAAGGTGACGGGGACTCTCTGTACTTCAGGGAAGCGGCACACAAAGACGTGTTGTAAGGGGGCAGGGGAGAGGCAGCGCGGGCAGCTGGGCTGGGAGCAGCGGGGCCAAGTCAGACGCTACCTGGGGGCTCCCCCCTCCCTCCAGCGTCACAGGCGCAACCTCTGAGACCAACGGGACTTCTTGATCTTTTCAGTTTCTAGCAGATAGAACTTGGCAGAAGCCACGATGGGCAGCCCGGTAGCAGCACCTCAGGCACTCTGAGGATGGAGGAAACCCATCTGTCAACAACGCGGGCAGCGAGCGAGCCACGCGTTTCTTTAGCGCTTTTACCAAGGGCGATGCCAGCCAACTCTCTCCTCCCCCAGAGAAATAACAGAAACTGAGTAAAAGAAGACTTTTCCTGTCGTTTCACATGCCAACGGAGAGGACCGGAACCCAATCACCTCCCTCTGCCCCCCAAGTGGGGCAGAACCAGAAGAGAGGTCACACGCAGAAGCCAACCCTGGCGCCAGCGCAGAGGCGACGAGCTCCGAGGAAGAGGGCTGGCAGGCTCTGCCAAAAACCCACACATGAATCTTGCAGATGTTTTTATTTTCTTGGCCGCTTGGAACCTTGCGCACTGTTTCCTCCCTGCTCTGCCATGAACGCGGACGCAGCTCGGATCCAGGCAGCCCGAGCTCCATGCCAGGCTCTCCGCTGGCAGAACCCGATGTCCCCGGCAGCACACTGGGTGGGGAAGCTCGCGGCTTTCATGCTGAGACCAATAATTTACACCAGACACCCGCTACGCCAGCTCCCGAAAACTTGGGTTTTGATCAGTCAACGCTGCAACTCCTCCCCTGCCCTGCAGAGTCAAAACAATTCTGCGCCTATTAACTTCACTGTCGAGAGCAGAATTAAACCCTCGCGTTCCCCTGAGGACACGGGGCAGGGGGGAGAGACTGACAGAGGAAAACAACGCAAATAGAAAACTACATCAAGAAACCATTTGCTATTCCAACAATATCAGTATGAAAGTTGTAAATTAAGGGGTCAAAGTAAAACCGCAGTTTAAAAAAAAAAAAAAAAAAAAGACAAAGCCCTAGAGCTGAAAATTCTCACCGAGGCCGGGGTAGGTCCTGCGCTTGCTGAGATTGGCCGATTTCACCAGGAACATGCAGGATTGATGAGTCATCCAAGAACAGAAAATCAGCAGCAGAGCTCCCAAGACAATGCCACACTGAAACGAGAAGAGGGGGAAGAGACAAGCGCAAGATGGAAAGTCAGTCACTCCGCAGAGCCTTACTGCCCTCCCTTATCGCCTCGCGGCTCCCGCACGTATTTCCAGCCGCACTTTTGGCTGTTAAGGGAGTTCCCTCGGCTTCAGAGCAGCCAGGAGAAACATGACGTACGAGCTCAATTTTGCTCTCTCCGCAGCCCAAGGCCGACACAGAGCAGCCACCTGTTTCCCACAGCTTCCAGCTGCACCAATTTAAGCACCAAAGAACGAACTGGGAGCTGTTTGTGGAGCAGAACTTCCATAGCCCCCCTGTTCATCCCCCAGTGCTCTCCACAGGTTCACATAGAGAGGCCGCTCCTAATCCTGAGGTGCACACTCCGTCATAAACGTATTCAATAAGAACTATTTGACAGTGTAAACTAATCACCGAGCTCACTACTAGCGCTGTCTTGCTTTGCTGGATCACGTGTTTACAGCGGGGGATGTAAATCACTGGATGCTTTTTAAGCAGGTGACTTTAAGCGGGCACAAGCGACGCCAGATCTTAATCGCAGCCGCCCTTTTTCTGCTGCGTTTGAGCCCGGTGTGGCCGCAGGGGCGACGGCAGCTCCTGGAGGGGGGGGGGAGCGGGGGCACAGCTCAGCGTAAGGGCTCAACGCCTCCGAGCTGACCCGTGTTTGTCATATGGCTAAATTGGTTTTTTGGGGTTTTTTTTTCCCCCTTCTACT